AAAAAAGAATATGCTTTATCTGGCATAAAGCAGATAAAAAGGAATCAAAATGTATTCATCCTTAGCTATAAATATAATGTATTTTTATTATGATCATATGATGCTAGTAAGAATTCAGTAGGGATTCAATAGAAATCTGACACTTTGCTTTTTTGCTATACTTAAAGATTGGCAAGCTTTTATGGGTGTTGAACTGTATTGTATTTTTATTAGTAATTCGGTATTTGTATGTGGCCTTTAGCTAGTTCACATGCAACATTGATTTGTTGTCATCTTTCTCATTATTTACCAGGCAAGACAGATAATATGATGCCTCATACTTCATTGACAATATAAAAATGAAAAACAGAACAAAACAAAACAAAAAAAGCTTTTCTAGGAATGGTTGGCCAAAAGACCTTTGGTTTGGCATCAGGAGCATTTTCAGTCTTCTTTATGTTACCATAAGAAAAAGTTGAGGGTGCCTGGGTGGCTAAGTCTGTTAAGCATCTGACTCTTGGTTTCAGCTCAGGTCATGATTTCAATGTCATGGTTCTCAGTGTCTTGAGATCAAGCCCCATGTTGGGCTCCTCCACTCAACACAGTCTGCTTAGGACTCCCATACAACACCCAGTGCTTATCTCAGCAAGTGCACACCTTAATCCCCATCACCTATTTCACCCATCCCCCCACCCACCTCGCCTCTGGTAACCATCAGCTTGTTCTCTCTAAGAATCTTTCTTGGTTTGTCTCTCTCTCTCTTTTCTCCCTTTGCTCCTTTGTTTTGTATGATTGAAATCATATGGTATGTATCTTTCTCTGACTGACTTATTTCACATTGCATTATACTCTCTACCTCTAGCCATGTCATCAAATCATAAACATTCTTATTGATGAATCAGTTTGTGTGTTTTCATTTCAAATCAATAAATAGGCTTATCATCTACTATTTTTAAAGTATCATGTCAGGTGTGGCTAGACAAGAGTAATTGAATGTCATAATTTTAATGTAGCATAAATCCACTTGAGGAAAAGATACTATTAACATGTGAAAGGTTAAATTCTCAAAAAAATTAGACAATAGTTAAAGAAACCAACATTGGAAATGGCATAACATAGCGGAAAATCAGTTTTCAAGTGAATGTGCAAAAATGTCAGTGCAAGTCAGAAGAGTAATATATCAGTGCTAGTTGGCCTCATCTAGAAAATCTTTATAAAAGATATGGAATATAGCATGTAGCTTGAAGGATTTGTAAGATTAAGGTAGATGAAACTGGAGAAGTACAGTTCATTCAAAATAAGTTGAATAATTTCAAGCAATAGACCATGATGGAAAAGTATCAAAAAAAAGAAAAAAGAAGAAGAAGAAGGAGAAGGAGAGGGACAGGGACAGGGACAGGGAGGGAAGGGGAAGGAGAAGGAGAAGAAGGAGAAGAAAAAGATTATTACAATGATGAAGAAAACAATTTATTTTAAGTAGAAAATTCTTGTTCAGAGAAAAACAATCAAAAAAGGTAGGTGGACACTTAGACATATTTAGTGCATAGAATAGAATGAACAGAAGTGAATGTTTGATTAAAACAATTCTGATGTTTCCATAGACCAGTTTGTAAGTGGTGTCCAAGATTGATTAGTGGACGGGAAAAACCGGAAGCACCGAATCCAGACAGGACCATGGGTGACAAACTTTGTACACAAAAGAATCTTTTTTGTCCCCCCCAAACGAAATCTAACTGTGATCTCCAACATATGAAACAGATCAAAATGGCATCATTTTGGAGCAATGTATTTTTTCAGGGCAGATTGGTACTTAGATATTTGATGGGAATACGAGTTTAACCAATGGTATTTTCCAGTATATAAAAATTGTCATCTGTAACATATTAAAGTGGGCCTGCTTACACTACAATATAGAGGACGTTTTGACAGAGCTATCCCTATCAGAGTGTATGAGGCTGCTGAAACACGCGCTTCAATTCACAGCTTACCAGGTAGATTATTCAGGTAGCCTCAACAAGAGAGGAAAATAGCACTGCTACTGATGATGAGGTTTATTCCGTGTAAAAAACCCCTCAGTGACTATCCATCACTTACAGTCCTTCTCAGGGCTGATGAGGCCCCAGGTGATCTGGCACATCGTCACCTCCCCTGCCTCAACTATGCCCAACTCTATTTGTTGCCTCTTACCAGTTATTAAATTATTTGAGTTCTTCAAATACTGTGATCTTTTCTCTTTCTCTGGGCCACCTTTTAGAATAACCCCTTTTCCTATAGTCAGCATAGCCTTGCCCTACCGCCGAACTAGTTTCAGCCCACCGTCTCCCTATTCCTGTAGTACCTGGTATTGTTGATTACTTGCTTCGTACCAGTCTGCCCTACTGGATGCCTGCTCTGTAAATAGATGCAGTTTTCCGATACATTAATCGCCCGTTTCCCAAAGAAATGGGCGATTAATGCAAGGATTTTTTTTTTAAATAGACTTTATTTTTTAGATCAGTTTTAGGTTAACTACAAAACAGAAAAAGTACGGAGATTTCCCAGATACTCCCTGTCCTCACACATGCAGAGCCTCTGCCACTATCTACTTTCCCAATAAAGTGATACACTGTTAAACTGATGAACCTGCATTGATACAGGAGCATCATCCAAAGTCCATAGTTTACATTAAGATTTATTCTTGGTGTACATTCTATGTGCTTGGACCAATGTATAATGACACATATCTACCATTATAATATCATATAGAGCAGTTGGTCATAAAAATCCTCCATGCTCTGCCTAATCACCCTTCCCTTCCCTTGACTTCTGGCAATCACTAATCTTTTTATTGTCTCCATAGTCTTGCCTTTTCCAGAATGTCATATACTTGGAATTATACAGTATGTAGACTTTTCAGATTGACTTCTTTCACTTAGTAATGTGCATTTAAGTTTCCACCAGTTCTTTTCATGGCTTCATGGTTCATTTATTTTTAGCGCTAAATAATATTCCGTTATCTGGAGAAGCTTAGAATTTGGCCTTTCGGTGAATTTTGTCACAGTTCATTTATCCATTCACCCACTGAAGGACATCTGAGTTGCTTCCAAGTTTTGGCAATTATGAATAAAGCTGCTACAAACACCCGTGTATAGGTTTTTAAATAAATTTAGTTTTAGACAAGTAAAGACACTTGAGTAAAAATATTCAAGAATCATCTGAACATTTACAAATTAGCATTTGTAAGGGAGAGGATACGTGTGTGCGTGTGTGCGTGTGCGTGTGTGTGTGTGTGTGTGTGTTTATAATAGTCATTTGATTTTTCATTCCTTTAATGAAATCTTCTATATACTAGAAATTGTATTTGGTGCTGGAAATGCAAAGTTGAGAATTACAGAGTTCTTGAATTTAAAGATCTCATAAAACAGTAGGAAAAAACAGAAACAAATAATCCCAGTAGGGGCGCCTGGGTGGCTCAGTCAGTTAAGTATCTGCTTTCAGCTCAAGTCATGATCCCGGGATCCTAGGATCAAGTCATGTATTGAGCTCCCTGTTTGGTGGGGAGCCTGCTTCTCCTTCTCCCTCTGCCTGCCACTTCCCCTGCTTTTGAGTTCTCTCTCTGTGTCAAATAAATATATAAAATCTCTTTTAAAAATATAATATGGAGAGTACCACAATGTACATATTTTAGAGTTATAATCAGTTCCATATGGTGGAGGCAGAGAAGACTTCACAAAACTGATGGCATTTGAACTGAACCAGAGGAAGAGCAGGAGCTCACAGGCAGATGATCTGAGAATAGTTATATATAGACCCAGAGTTTAGAAAAAAATAGACAGTACGCTGATGTTGGAGAAATAGTATGAAATTAAGCTAGAAAGATGGGCTGATCAGATGGGGAAGGGTCTTTTAGGCCCTGCTAATGAATTTGAACTTTTTCTTATATTAGTGATAACCACTGAGTAATTCAAAGTACAGGTGTGATGGAAATTAAGATTTTAGAAATATAATCCCTTTGTCTGTATGGACTATAGGATAAAAAAGATGAAAATGGTGTCACAATAGACTAGGAGAGCTAATGGACTAGTTCACATCAGAATGATTCTGATCTGTGATTATGGAAGTAAAGGGGAAGTAGGAGATTCGGTAGATATTTAAGAAGTGAAATTTATAGGACAATTACATTCAATAATATTGTTTATCCTATCCTTAAGTCTCCCTTTAAAAGGATCTTTTTGATTAATGAAAATAATAGTATACGGAGAAGGTGTAAATAGAAATGCCACTGAGAGATATTATGTCACAATGAAAACTGTTTGGATTAATTCTCTATATTCTCTGACCAAAGTCCTTAAAAGCACACTGTTTTTATAAATTGTTATTTTCCTTTTTAATATATATTTTATTAGGCTAGCTTTTGAACCTCTGTTTTATAGATTTTAGATGTCAAGATACAAGGAGCCGTGAGTTTCCACTGAGAAAATCAGAGAATTAAAAGCATCTAAGGGCCATTGAATACATTTTGTAACATAAAATCTTAATGATTAACATGTCATATGGACTGAAAGGTTGGCATAGATCTAGAATAAGAGTAAGTTAAATTCTCATACACTTGTTTGACAATCAATCTTGGCGTGTTCCATTTGGTATACAAGGATAAACAGCAGAAGAAAGTAGTTAAATCTACAAGCACTAAATTAATTCATTAATTGTCTTTAATTAGCAATTTGGGTTTTCCACGTGAGTAACTTTGTTGGGAAGTTATTGCCTTTTGTAACTGTGGGGTAACAATTAGCTAATAAGATCTTCCAAGAATAAATTGAGATATTGAGATAGCAGGTGTCATTATGATTAGAAATTAAGATAACAACCAGGTGATTTACTGTGGCAGCACCAACAAATTGAAATCAGGATGAAATCAACTAAGAGAACATAGAGGGTGCTGTCATTCCCATTGTGGTTGTTATGAATTGCGTGTATCATTGTGTGCATGTTTACGTGTTTATGTGTCAATATGCTTTTTTTTTTTCCTCATTAAACTTCAGGTATGACAGTGATAGCTGGTGCCCGCCATTACCAGTACAAACATACTTACACCAGGGTATGGAAGATGAACTGGAAGAAGACGATGATCGTGTCCCAACACCTCCTGTCCGAGGCGTGGCCTCTTCTCCTGCTATTTCCTTTGGACAGCAGTCCACTGCAACTCTTACTCCATCCCCCCGGGAAGAGATGCAGCCCATGCTGCAAACTCACCTGGATGAGTTGACAAGAGCCTATCAGTTTGATATAGCCAAGCAAACGTGGTAAATATTCTCGTCAGGTCAGGGGACCCAGGCCTTCGGCACAGGGATCGAGGAAATGTTCGTTTACGATACATTCACAAGGAGTTCTCATAGGACTATACAGCTGGGGGTTAGAAGCGCTTTTGTGCAACTCCTTAATCATCCGGATAAAGAAATTAGTTAAGGATACGTTAAATAATTTGATCAAAGTCACATAACTGGTTAAAGAGTAAACCGGGGCGAGAATTCAGATCTGCTGAATTTCAGGCTAAACCGCTTTTGGCTACACCAGAATCTTTTCTAATTTACAGGTTAGCTCCAATTAGCTTATCCTTGAACTCACTTCCAATGCCATAATAAAAGACTCCTTTTAGATTCTTCAAAGTGCCTGTGATTAATTCTGTATGTGGTTGTGAATAGGTAAATGTAAGCTTCTGCAAATCACGTACGGTCAGTGTCAGTTATTAAAAGATACTTGGGCTGAATTAAATGAGACAGAAAAAAAACAGTAGTATTAGTAGATGCATTAAAAAATAAAACCTAGAATAAATTACAAATCCCAAATTCCTTTTTTTCTAATCAACTCACACCCTCTCCTAAGGTAGACTTGGCAATCTAGTTGGGTATCCTGTGCAAGCATGGGAAGAAAGGTGGGACAAGATCTCACAATTTTATACAAGTTTTTTCATGTGCTCTCTCTTCTCCCAAATAGTGACAGATTAAATCTGACTCTTGAAATCTCAGTGGCATACCTCTGATATCTTCTATTGATTTCCATGATGCACTTCAAGTTAAATTTTCATGAAATACAATTTGCTTTTCTTTTTGATAGTTTTAGATACTAGGATAGTTGATAATGAGATAGATCTTGTTCTTAGTGTTAATGAACTATTTCTTTTAAAAGTACAACAAAATATACAAAGAGATACTAAAACCTGGCCAATCATATGAAGCTAATTACGAACATAGGTTCTTTTCCTAGAACCAGAGGTTTCTAGACATCTTTTTTCTCAATGATCTGATGTTTTTCAAAGGCCAAAGACAATCTACTGTTAAACAGTATTATTTTGCATCAGGCTGCTTCATAAAATACCTCTATTTAAGTTGAAGCCCACTGCTTCAAGAGCCAAAGGATTTCCTTCAGGTTAACTAATAATAACCATGTACTTAGTCATTTATGGCACAGATTCTAGCTCAGGTGTTCTCAAATTTGATGCATTTTGTAGTCATCTGGATAATTTTAAAATGTAGTGATACCTAAATGCCACCCCTATATATTCCAGATTGTCTGATCTGGTATTTGACTGAGGGCAGTTGTGGTTGGAACTACTGCCACTGCCACTACTTACTATCTGTATGACAGTGGGCAACTTGCTAAACCTTTCTGTGCTTCCAACCCCCCCCACCATTTATAAAATGATGATCCTAATACCAATTAGCTCATATACAATGTGAGAGCATAGTCTCCAAGACCACCCTCTGTTCTAAGAATTCACAAGAAGAAGCCATAGAAATCACTGAATACCATGACACTGAACGTTATCATTTATTATATAGAAAAGATACAGATTAAAATCTTCCAAGAGAAGAGATGCACAGGACAGAGTCCAGGAAATTTCCAAATCTCGAACTTCCAGTTGTCTTCTACCAATGGATTTGTAGAAAGCATTACTTTCCCAGCAACAATGTAGGACAATATGCATAGAGTATTGCTAACTAGGGAAACTCATACGAACCTTGAGTTTCATGGTCTTTCTTGCAACTTTGTCACATAAACATGGTTGGTTATCTGCATAGTTGACTTCAGTTTCTAGTCCCTCCAGAAGGCAAGCTGACACCATGTGACTGAAAGCCCCTATCATAAATCACATTGTTAGACTTTCTGGAGAAGCCTAAGGTCTCCAGATGAACAAAGACACTCCTATCAGATAGGACATTCTAGAACTTAGAGAGAGATTACCTCCCTGGAGCACATGGCAAAAGCCTAACTTCTCTTTGGACAAGGTAAATTCTTTATTACACATCACAGTTGTTGTGAGAATTAAATGAGTTCCACTTAGTTCAGTTGGTAGAGCGTGGGACTCTTAATCTTGAGGTTGTGAGTTCTAGCCCCACATTGGGTTAGAGATGACTTAAAAAGAAAATCATTAAAAACAAAGAGAGTTAAATGAGTTTGCTCTTATACAAAACATAGTCCAGTATCTAGCTGTATTAGAGCTGTTATTCTTCAGAAGGGCTCGGGTTTTCACCTGAATTTTTCATTGCTATCTTCCCACTCTTAAAAGAGCATCACCTTTAGTGTGTGTTGCGTAGATCTTTACAAAATGAGTGGACAAACAAGTTCTTCACTTGCTCCAGGTACCTGTAGGGAAAACCCTGTTTCTTTCACTGAGTATGTCTCCGTTCAACCAACAGTCCTCCAGGGTGTCATTAGCGACCCCCTTTGTAGAAGTTATGAGTCTGTATGTGCTCCCACAGGATCTCGCCCTTCAGGAACGAAATGTCCTCCTCATCTGAGGTGCACATCGGCATCACAGGAGGAACATTTTAAAAATGCTAATTCCCACACTCCACCTCCAGGGATTCTGTACATATTGGCCCATGCAGTGCATAGTACAGTGCTTGTCACTACAAGAGATCTATAAATGTTTTGCACCCTCTTCTTATTTCAGTTTATCTCCTACTTCTGCTCATTGGAGGAGTCCATTTTATACCTTAATGTTTATTTTTTCCATTCAAGAGTTGTCAGCAATCCTGTAGAACTAGAATGTCAGTTTCTTTGCTTCTTTCCAGGACAAAAGTGCACACCATTAGAGAAAAATGAATCATGTATATAAATACCACCTTATATTCTCTTGCTTATGACTTGACTCAGTCCAACCTTAATTCACAAACAAAATTTGAGACAACATTTACAAGATGTCATCATCAACACTCAAGATTTTCTATACCAGTAGTTTAGAAACTTCCTGATTTTTGCATGAATGAACTATGATGAATGTCAGATAAAGACTTGGGACCTCAGATTCCTGATCTGTTAAATTAAAAATGGGTTCCCAGAACTAATATCTTGGGGGGTTTGTTTTGTTTTAACATTGAAAGATGTAGAATGTTGTTACATTGGAGTTGGTTGCAAGTTTAAGAATGCACTTGGGGGGGACGCCTGGGTGGCTCAGTTGGTTAAGCAGCTGCCTTCGGCTCAGGTCATGATCCCAGCGTCCTGGGATCAAGTCCCGCATCGGGCTCCTTGCTCGGCAGGGAGCCTGCTTCTCCCTCTGCCTCTGCCTGCCACTCTGTCTGCCTGTGCTTGCTCTCTCTCTCTCTCTCTCTCTGACAAATAAATAAACAAAATCTTAAAAAAAAAAAAAAAAAGAATGCACTTGGGGGGTTCCTGGGTGGCTCAGTGGGTTAAAGCCTCTGCCTTCAGCTCAGGTCATGATCCCAGGGTCCTGGGATTGAACCCCGCATCGGGCTCTTTGCTCAGCGGGGAGCCTGCTTCCTCCTCTCTCTCTCTGCCTGTGTCTCTGCCTACTTGTGATATCTGTCTGTCAAATAAATAAATTAAAAAAAAAAAGAAGAATACACTTGGGAGAGGAATGTTAAAGAAATTCTGGAAAAATGAATTATTTTCCCCCAAAATGCAAGTGTTCAAAATCATCTTGTATCTTTAATTCAAAAATGTAGGGTAAAAATGCATAACACTTGATTTACATGTGCCTTAAATAGCCTATGTCTTTTAAATACTTTGTACAGATGCAAAAAAAAAAAAAAAAAGACAATGTGTTAATACATGTGGTATATTCACTCATTAATGACAGTAACAGATAACAATGACTTTCATATATATCATGGCCTTTATAATTTAGAAGAAACTCTTAAGTAGTCGCAAAATGAATCAACTGAACCCTAGTGTCCAGCCATGCCATTTGAAATAAGTGACTTAAGTTGGAATTTCACTTTAATAGATTCTAAGACAAAGGGAATAATACAAGTTCTGCCTACTTCACAAAGTCAAGGTTAAAGTTACATATGCATTGCAAAGGGTGTGTTAACACACCTCACGTTCCAAACACAGAGAGTGCTGAGATGAATCTTTCCCACGTTTGAGGTGTTTTAGACTTTAGTGGGTAAAACAGAGGCATAAATAAGTAGCTAGAACATAAAGCAGCCATTCCTACTTTAAACTGGGTTACAGCAGATAACACCACTCAGCCTGATTCATGGGTGGGGGAGGATGTGTAGGAAGAAAGCCTTGAAAGGCAGGCACTGTCCTCCTGGCTGGGAGAAGGATTATTGGTATTAACCCTTCTTGTGACATTTTTTTCTTTGTAAGGGCTAGCAGGTCACAGAGATTAAACAGGCCGAGTAGAATTTTGACACTAAACTGTAAACCAAATTATTATATCTGGGGGAACCAAAAAAAAAAAAAAAAAGGGCTTTAAGCAGTTATTTGTGGCAAATATTCATTTTCTCCTTTGGATGATTTATTTGCACAAAATGTAGGGTCTGTATTTTTCTCTGTGTATTATCCCATAAATACCAGTGGAAGAGTATACTAGTTAATGCTGTTATTGTTGTTTTGACTAGCCATGTATCCTTAGCCCGTTGTCTCTGCTAAAATGTAAGAAAGCACTGTAATCTCCAAAATTAGTTAATAGAAAGCAAGAAGACAAAATGAGTCGCCATCACATGCTGTTTAATTCTAATTTGGTAGGATGTTAATGAATTCCTTTTTTCCCCTATTTGAATTCTAGGCACATTCAAAGCAATAATCAACCTCCACAGCCCCCGGTTCCACCATTAGGTTATATGTCCGGAGCCTTGATTTCCGATTTGGAAACAGATGTTCCAGATGATGATGCGGACGATGAGGAGGAAGCTTTAGAAATCCCCCGGCCCCTGAGAGCACTAGAGCAGACACCCGGATCCAGTATGGACAATCTAGACAGCTCTGTGACAGGTAACGGAACTGATTTAATAGGAATAACTGACCTATTTATAACATTAAAATGCATCAGAAATCAAATACTTTCTTATGTAAGATTTATTCCACTCCAGCTATTTCTATAACATTTTAAATATGTTAATATTAAACACAAAATTCAAAAAGGATTTGGAAATACTTTTGCTTTGCTGCAAAAATGATAAGAAAATTCATGAATTTTAAAAAGCTTTAAAGACATGAAAGAAAACTCAATTATATCCAGGGCTTTCATGAAAAGTTCACTCTACTGGGGAACCAAGTCTATTACATAAAAAACCTTGACTTTTAGAAATGATATATTTTGTTTATCAGGAGCTACATACAAAGTGAATGCAATCTTAAAATGCCTCTCAATATTTCACTCTGTAAAATCATTCACTGATGAATGATCAGCAAGTCTTCAGAATGAGCCTCTCTAAGGTTGCACAAGGTATTATTTTTGGAATGGAAAAAATGTATAGTGAGATAAGCCATACATTTACACATTTCATATCTTTGGATTCAATAATTGCTCCTCTTCCAAGAAATACAGTTATTTTTGCTGTTTACTTCTTCGGCGTCCTCTGCTTTGCTCACCATGTGAACGGTAGCAGTTGCTACTCTCCTAGGATGATCCCAGGACTGCAACATATTGCCAAGGATTTAAGTTTATCCCATTTTGTTGAAAAAACTTGAATCCTAATATGTACACAGTGAATATGGAGAAACACAAAAATTTCATCTTTCTATTCCAGTAGGTATCCCTTCTTTGACACACATGCACAAATGTCTCCTATAGGACTAGAAAGACATAATCACAAGCGTAGATCTTGCTTTTGCCTGGCATTGGGTCTTCTCAGAAAATCGCCCTTTTCTGTATTCATCTTGATAATATCGTCTTCATCCTTGGAGGCATTTATTACAGTTCCATTTCATTCATTTGTACTCCAACGCTCCCAACTTACACAGATCTCACAGTATGCATTAGAGTTCAGCCTGCACTGAGGGAAACTTCTTTATGGCAGTGATAGAGAAGGATAAAGACCTATATGTTTCTTCTCTATGCCTTCCTGAGTAATACAATGTGTGATGCATGAGTCCCCTTTTTTTGTTTGTTTGTTTTGCGTCTTACCTGGGGGCTGTATGCTTGCCAGGCTAATTAAGATTTAAGAGCTGCAGATACACTGCTGTGATTTCAAATCCTGATCCAACTGAAAGTGGCAGAGCAAAAGTTTAAATCTTTGAATGCAGAGAGCTAACTTATTAGTGCACTATTATGTTAAGCCCCTTTGCCTGAATTTGTAGCATAATCTTCAGGGTAAAATTCTGCATATGTTTGCATATCTCACTAATGAGACTGAACTCTTTTCCACTAGGAATGAAGTAAGAATTGCAATAATAACACCAAAAAAGGCAGTTATAGCCTATGTAGTTCTTTTATTAAATATATAGTGTCAGAGGTGATAAATATATCTATAAGCCTGCTATTTCATACATTTCCATGGTCACCTGTTAGTAACATGTTAGGGTATTTAATGTGAATGTGGTTAAAACCAATCTGCCTTTCTCCTTGTAGTGAGTATACTGTTCATTCCAAATGAAGGTTTTATTGCTAAGAAAACAGTCTGTTTTCCTCCTTGAATTCACTGCTTAATTACTGCCGTGTATAAAAACCTCAGGTTGTCTAAGTATGTATTACATGATGAATTTACCCTATGAATAATACATCATCTCAGTGAAAGAACTTGTACTCTACAAAAAGTAGCCAAAGAGGAAACTCTTTACTTTTTTCTTCTCCCTTTTTTTTTTTTCATTTTGGCTCTGTGATAACTTTGTGGGGAAGGTATGATCAAAGATTTAATTTGTCTGCTAGTATATAAGTATAATGTAAGTAAATATAAATTAAAATAAGAGCAAATATGTTTTCTCAAAAAAGTATGTGTGTGTAGGAAGCATGGGTCAGTGTATAGATGTGTGTGTGAGAGAGTATAGATAGGGTTTGTGGTTTTATCTGCATGTGAGTGTATGCAAGGGGGTGTGTGTGTGTGAGTGAGTGTAAATAGAATTTTAAGTGTATTAGAGTGTGTGTGCACATGCACACATGTACGTGTACATGGAGATGTCCCCGAGGTTAATGTATGTACCAACCAAATGTTATGGAAATCAACATACTGATGTATATTATCCTAACATGTTTATGTTTTCTTCAGACACTTAAAGCTAGCTTAATGGTGCTAAATGAGGTAGGCAATAAAACAGACACTGTTTCCATTGGCTTTTTATGTTTTTAAGATGGTAAGTGCCCACAGAGAGGATTCTGATCTTACTGTAAATTACTTGGGGTTCTAAATTTGTGTGTGGTATGAGGAAATTAGGCATTTACTTTGACTTAAATCGCCTGGTAGAGATTTTCACTTTCATGAAACTAATAACCATTTTTATTAAATGGAACAAACAGTTCTATTCCATTCCTTGAAACTCTAAAGCCAACCAGAATGACAGTCCAATGATAACACAGAGATGGGTTAATAAGCCTGTGTATTCAGGATTTTACTTGATATATTACATTCCAGCCCTTAACCACATTAAGTAATATCAGCAGCTAATAAGGTGCCCAACCCATCTTTATAAAAAAATAATTATATTAATTCCCAATATTTTCATAACAACAAAGTAATTTGTGATGGACCTCTTTAATCTTGAAATAATTGGTCATGAATGGAAAAGCAAGAAGAGAGGGAAATATCTGTAGTTTCATATGCCATAATCTCATGTCTTCTCCTGGCTGGGCTGCTATAACAAAAGGCAGTAGACTGGGTGGCTTAAACAACAAGTATTTATTTCTTACAGTTCTGGAGGCTGAGAAGTCCAAGATCTAGGTGCCAGGAGATTTGATTCCTAGTGAGTTCCTCTTTCTAGCTAGCAGACAGCTATCTTTGTGCTGTGTTCTTACATGGTAGAGAGAGACAGCAAACTCTTGTCTCTCTCTCCTTCTCTCTCTCTCTCTTTTTTTTTTTTCCAAGATTTTACTTATTTATTTGACAGAGAGAGAGAGAGAGAGAGAGAGAGAGAGAAAGCCATAGAGCACAAGCAGGGGGAACAGCAAAAGGAGAGGGAGATGTAGGATCCCCACTGAGCAGGGAGCCCCGTGTGAGGCTCAATCCCAGGACCCTGGAATCATGACCTGAGCCAAAGGCACATGCTTAATTGACTGAGCCACCCAGGCACCCTAGCTTCTTTTTGTAAAGTCACTGATCCAATTGTGATGAGCCCACATCCATGGCCTCATCTAAACCTAATTGCCCCCCAAACACCCCGCCTCCTAATACATTAGGGATTAGGGTTTCAACACATGGATTTTAGGGAGAAATCAACATTTGGTTTCCAAAACTCAGTAATGTGGAAAATGTATTTACAAACCTGCTATACTATATTTATTCCCACCACAAACTTTTTTTTCAAAGATTTTATATTTGTTTATTTGATAGAGGGATAGTGTGTGTGTTGAGAGGGTAGGAGTCAGGTGAGGAGCAGAGGAAGAAGCAGGCTCCCCCCCTGAGCAGAGAGTCTGATGTGGACTCAATCCCAAGACCCTGGGATCATGACCTGAACCGAAGGCAGACGCTTAACCGAGTCAGCCATTCAGACGCCGCCCCCCCAACCCCACCAGCAACCAACATCTATCAGATGTCTATTCCTTCTAATCTGTTGACTAGGAATTTAGATATAATAATGATAATGATAATAATGCTATCAAGAAGAAGAAGAAGAATATTAGCTTGCACATATATAGCCCTTAGTAGGTACAAGACACTATCCAAGGAAGTGGCCTGCTTTTCTGTTGTGGCTTCATGGGCTAAGAATATTTCCTACATTTTTAAAGTATTCTAAGAAAACATGGAACAAACAAAAACAAAAAAGACAGCAAAGCCTCAAATATAAGGTATCTGACACCTCATAGAAAAGTCTGCAGATCCTTGTCGTAAAGTTTTAACATATATTAATTCATTAACTGTCACAACCCTGTTTTTGTTCTCATTTTATAGAAAAGGAAATTGGGCCACAGAGGAGTTCAAAGTATTTTTAAAGTTACCCACGTGATAAATGGCAGAAGAATTTTCAAAATCAATTGTTCTCACTCTTACGATAAATTATCATGATCCCTTCTCTGGATATGCCCAACTTTTTTTTTTTTAATCTCTGAATTTAACATATTTAAGAAGAAAATGATTTCCTGGCCTATTACTCAACATATGGATCTCTGTCTCTCTCTCATCTCTCTGCTCTGTCTTCCTTTCTGTGCGTATGCGTATGTGTGTTTATACACGTATGAATAAAAATGTACACATATATGCACACAAATACAACATATAGTTTTATCTCTGGAAACATTAGTCCTTACTCTCTATAGGCTTGATCAAGATTTAAAAAATCTTAATTTTTAGATGTACCTTTTATTATTTATTTTCTTATATTTAGTTTATATTCAGTTATAGTGACTCATGCTAACAAAAATCAACTGTAGCAGCACTTTTTATAGGAAATCTCCTTTTTAATTTAATTCATGCTATAACCTATTTGGTTGTAATAAAGTATAAAACTATCTTGATTATAGCACATCACACTCTGTTTGGGGCTAGAAAGTAAACACCCAGAGTTGTTTCAGTCTTCAGGAATATGCTTGCCGTATTTCCTCCTTAATGCCAAATCCACCATTTTGGGGTAACAGGACAGGGAGGGGAGTTAATACTTCTTTCTGTATCTTCCATGATGGGAGTCCAGGGTAAGTGTTTCCTGAATTTAATAACTCCACCACAGGAAAAAAGAAACAGAAGGCAATGTGAGAGAGGATAGAGGGAAAATGTCCTGTACCTGGTGCCAAGATTCTAACTGTTTCACTGATCACAGAAAGTACAACGGAGAGTGAGTGCCATGAAGTGAAACGAATAAAAGTTTCCTTAACTGCTGGACCCCACATAAATATTATGGCTGAAAGG